TCAAGAGTATATAATGAAATTAAAAAAAAAAGGTTATTTTGTTTTTTAAGAAGAAATTTTCTTAACCATCAGTTTTAATACTCTTAACTGTAAAGGGTTACACTTTATCGAATAAAATTAATGACATTATAAGATTCAAAATTTTTAATTATAAAATTATGTGAAATAATCATAAAACATAATTATTTGTAATATCGTGACTATCAGAAAATATAAAAAAAGATCATTTAACTACAATTCATTACATTTCAATGTACTTGTAACAAGATTAATAAAAATTTGTGTAATATTAATTGTAATGTAATAATATTTGCAATTTTATTAAGTTTAATTGCAATATAATCAACATAAAGTATAAATTTTTGAAATTATACAATATTTGTAATTGAACTATTTCATATTAATGTTCACTAATTCGCTTTTAATTTATTATACAAATATTATGTATTATATTATATACATATTTTATCTATTATATTATATACTTATATTATATTTTAAGTTACATATATATAATTTATTTTGAATATATAACATATGCTAATATTTAAAATTCTTAACGATGTACAAAAATTATCTAAGATGATTTTAAGTATCCTTTGTAATATACTATGTATACTAGATCATTTATTTGCAACTTAATACGCACGTCAAAGAAAATGAAATGCTTGATCGATTGTATACGAGCCAAATAGAAAATTCAATTGTTAAATTAAAAATTAATTTTTGTCTTCATTTTAGTGACTGTTTCATCTATATTTGAAAATTCATACTTGTCACTGAACCGCATTAGAGTAGTGACAAATCTCATAATGAACCATAATAAAATTAAACATTTTTGCTACTATGTGTACATCTTTTCCGATTAATTCTAATATGTCGGTTATTTTTCTTTTAAAAGCCGCTACGGAAGCAATTCTAACGATTAATATAGAACTAAAGGAATTAAAAGTCTTCCGAATTGAAAGCTTTCTCTATTAAATAGTCGCTAGCTGCAGAGATCGATTACAATGACTTCAAAAATAAAAAATCTTCATTTAGATAAAAGTGTTTAACTCAAGATCCGAGCCAGCAATCACAAACATTAACTGGTGGGTGTATACAAGTGGGCGTCTATGCATCGATGATGCACAGTTGCTTGCTTCAAATTTTTATTTTATTTCCAGTTCTATGTATCTAATGGAATCAAGCCAAATGTCTCCACGAATTCCACAACGAACTTCCAAAATAAATTCCGCGGATGAATTTCAGTGTATAGTTAGAGTAAATAAGGAATGGATACGAGTATTTCCTAATCAAGATCGTGATTGCATAATGATTAAATTGTTTTATTGCGTATTGTATGTATGCTACAACAGCGTAACGGGTTTTATAATTTGAACATAAAATGGAATATGTATGTAGGGATATTCGAAAGTATATAGACTATTCGAAATCATATATATGCAATATAAAGAAAATTGTGTGTGTGGGTGTGTATGTATATATATATATATATATATATTTATATCAAATATCCGATGTGGTGTTTTATTATTAAACTTATAGTTTAATAACTATTATAAATTATAATTAATTAACTATAAATTGTAATAATTAACTATTATAAATAATAGTTTCTGCTATTACTTGAAAGATTGCATAACTTCGAAAAAGTCGGTTCTAACATTTCTTTATTGATACAAAACAAGCAATCAACTGAGTATTAGAGATGATAGAAGTTATATCAATTTTATAATTATTGCTTATATAGAATGACAAAATACAATCGAATAAATATTTATATATTTTACGTCAAGCATGCAGATATATAAACTAATTAAATTTATAAAGATTATTTATAAATTGCCAATACAGGGGACCAACAGAAATAATATATTTTATGCATAGGCATAAGTACAAATGATATTTAAGGCAAATACCTATTGTTTGAAGCAAAAACTGTATAAAAAATGAAATAATGTTTACATTCTTACCATAATAATGTATTATAAATAATACATAAAGTATTAATCAAATATTATTAAAGGTACGATTTTATAATACATACATTTTCATTCAACTGCTTAAGAAGACGCGAAGCATTAAATAAGCAATAAATCAATATTTTTAAAAGTTCGTTTTACAAGAACAAAATTTTCAAATTAAAAATTAGTTTTTATTTATTTATTTGAATATTAATGATAACGTGAATCTACAGAATATTCATAATAATTCTTTTAATTTTTGAAATTTTAAATCAAATTCGTCGTATTATTCTTTAAAGATTAAATATATTTTTTAAATAATCTGTTGTATTAACATATTTACCTTTTCTCCAAAAACATTTATAATAAATGTAAGTATAAAGATTTCCAAAGATCAAATTCCTAATAATAAAGCGCTTCATTAAATCCTTACAACCATATTATAACATTTATTTTGCATATAAATTAAATTTTTAACGTAGTGTATTTCAATTATATTAAATGTAATTTATTGTCTTTAAATATTTAAAAATTAATTATAAATATTGATAAAAATGAATTTGAAAACATTTCTACACTTCAATATGGACATGTTACACACACACACACACACACACACACACATATATATATATATATAATTTACTAAGTAATTTTTTTATTAAGTATAATTGCGTTTATTTCATATAAATTATATTAAAAGCTTAGTGTGTTAAATAAGTATATATATATATATATATATATATATATATTATACATTGCATTATATATTACACATTGAAATGTATAATGGCTTAAAAATAATTAAACAGATATCTATATATACAAATATTCTGATTAATGCATCAATCAATGTATTATAAATTATAAATAAATGATAATTAATTGTAAATCTGTTTTAACATTTTTTGTAAAGTATATATTAAATGTAACATTTTGGATAAAAGTTTACCTTACCTTATATACCAATAAAATAATCTTTTAAATTACTTGAAACAGTCGATATAAATTAATAAATTTTTAATACTCTACTTTAATTCTTTTAATTAATTAACGAATATTAATGAAGTATACTTAGAATTAAATAAATATTAACTCGTGTATAAAAATAATAAAAATTTTCAATACGGATAATAAACTAATAATGTATAACTGAATTTTTATTACTACAAACTATGCAATCACATGTAAATGAAATCGTATATTATTAGATAAAATAATAGTTTTAATAGAATACAAGAGAAATCAATTTTTAAAAGACTAATAATGTTTGATTTATTGTCTCGTTTATTATATATTTTGTAGAAAAATGTATTTAACTCGTTGAAAATGAGTTGTCATTGAATTGCAATCTTAAATTCTCTTATGAGAATAAAAGACTGTTAATGATAAAAATTTGCAGCATTGCAACGTTTGCGGGTTATTATATGAGAAATATTGACACGCATTTCAATTTCACGCAGAAATCAAATAAACTATTTCGGCATTTTTTCTACTATTACATTATAGCAAAATATTATAAAAGATAATGTGAATTGCAATATTTCATTATTAAAAGTAAAATTGTAATATTTTATGTAGATATCTTATTTTCAATTTATTGAAATTTATATTTTAAATTATTTTTAATAAATTTACTGTGCCATTATAAGTAAAGTATGTGCACAAAAAGTACAACGACAAAACACCGTACCAATATTTTCATTTTCAACACAATATGAAATAATATTAATATAATGCTTATCATAATTGGCGTCCTCATTTCTTAAATAATAAAAATTGTTGACTAGAAAAGATAACATTTTCGAAATATAATACATCAAAAAGTACGATTTATTTAATATAGCATAATATTTAAGAAATTTACATAATTATTCGAAAATGAAATAAAATTGAGACTATGAATATTCTTAAATATGAAGTAAAAACTACGTTATAATAAAATTTCCAATGTTAGTTAAATAAATCGTTTTTAAAAAGGTAAATTATAAAATTTTAAATAATTTTCCAACTCTTTCTTCTATAAGAAAACTGTTTCACAACGAGCCACAATCTTTCTTCGTAATAAAGAATTTAAATTTAAAATGTTTAGAAACTGAAGTTTTTATAATAATTTATATAATCCTTAGTAATTTGGCGTGGAAGTAGATAACGAAGAAATTATTATTTATTTTCAGCCTAATTATAATATGATAATACAATCTTTATATGACTAAAACAATAAATATACCCAAATTTGCTTCTTAATCCATAATAATGTTTTTGATGAAAATTTTAGTGACAAATTTATCGTTGGGTAACAAGAGGATGGAATTATACAATCAATCTTACACATAAATTCTAAAATGATTCAACGAGCTAAATAGTAAATGAAGACACGTTGAAAGCATTGCACACTCATGATACAACATGTATACTTTCTCTTCTGTTTTTATTTTAGTAAGTTAATTAAATTTTCTTTCTCTCTCTCTCTCTCTCTCTCTCTCTCTCTCTCTCTCTCTCTCTCTCATGTATCTATGTATCTATCTATCTCTCGGCGTTGAGTCCTCCGTCTGAGCTAGCGATTTATTAGGAGATGTAAAAAATGTCATTATGAGCTCATGACACGTAACCACGTCGATTTCGGCCTCTAAATACCTTAGTACAAAGTATTTCACTATCTATAAACGGGAAAAACATCACACATGCTCAAGATGCAGTGACCCTCGTGTACAATTGCAAAGAATGGCCGCATTCACATTTTCGAGCGCGCACCTCCTCCTCGTAGTGGGGCTAGCGATTTACGTGTTTTCTGCCTGAACAGCGAAAAGTGCGACCTCCTGTTGCTCCATGAACGCCACACGGTCATTCTTCCTGTCCACCTTTTGCGCTGATTTGGCACTAAGGCGGCCTTGCACTTGTCTTCCGTCGACTGCCATGCACACTCGTGTGATTACTTACTTCTGCTCGCGATTCCAATTTCTCCCCATATGCTCCTCGAGAGCTTTCTCTTTCTCTCTCTCTCTCTCTTACTCTCTCTCCCTCTGTGTTTTCTTCTTCTTCTTCTTTTAGACTCTAGCTATCGTGAATTCCTGTACATTGTACGAATACTTTTCCGCGAGTAGGTTGCTTGTTCGGTTTCCCTTCCTCGCTATTCCGTTTTATCGAGCCCGATCGGTTTTTCGGTAGTGTGCGACCTTTCAAGGTGAGTTGGACCCACCGGAAAACATGCGGAATAAATTTATAATCCTTGTATTGCAGGCATTGCTGCTTACTTTGGCGAGTAGTGAGTATATTATTTTTTTATTTATATTTACTTTGAACGAACACGATATAAAATGAACACATTATGCGTGTACTTTCTTAAGATGTATATTGAATAAAATTTATCGCACATTCTAAAGAGTAACTTCGCTTCCTTTACCTCCTATAATTACGTAAAATAGAAATTTCGTCGGAAACTTTACACTTGATAATAGAACTTTTTATTTTTATAAATACGAGATATTTTTATCAGGTATATTAAAAGATTATTAATCCAATTATGAAATAATACTTCGATTTAAGGAAATGATTTTTAATGCAAAACTCTAAAATCAATGATATTCTCGTATCATAAACTTACATACGCTATTACATAAAATAATCGACTAATTCATTTACCAATTTCATAAATTCATATTTTCATTAAGTTAAGTATTGTCACGAATATAAAAGACTAACTTTTTTATTGCATAGAATAGTAATGTTTATATTATAATTTAATTTTAATATGTCACACTACGACATATCCCAATAAAATATAACAACAAATTCTGAGTTTAGGCTTAATTTTTATTTAATTCATACTTTGCTCGATAGACAGTTAAATTACTCCTACTTTATAATTTAATTGTTACTACTATAATCGTCTTAAGATTTTTAAATATTATAGTCGATATGGCATAAATCTTTTACAATAATGAAATCATTAATAAATAACTTTAATAAATAATTATGTAAAAGTTTAAAAGGTTAAACGCAAATATTAATTACCACTATTAATTCTTATTGATAATAAAATTGCTTTTTTTAAAATAGTAATATTATATACAGATATAAAAATAAAATAAACGTATTTATCATAGTTTTACTTACATACTTACTTAATAACTTCTGCATAAGTAAAATTTATATGCTCTGTAAGTGTACATAGTTATATTAATGAATGAATTAATTAATTAATCTTAACGATATTTCAATTTTATAATTTCACGAATAAACTTTAATCTAAGGCTAAACATTAACCTATAACAAGATTAACTATTTACAGCAACACAGAAATTAGATATTAGTAACATTCAACAAAAGAACGTAAGTTTCAGCTACATAAAGAGATCTGACTCAACCAGTTTTATAAATAATGATACACCGAGTTTATCAAAAATAGAATCAAAATCGTTTAAAAAGCCCATATTTTCAAAACATACGAGAAGCAGTCGAGAAATCAATTTGAAACCAAGAACAGCCCCAGAAAATACTGTTGAAAAAAAATTATCATTACGCAGTAAAAGGAATACTACAAATAATAAAAATGATATAATTGAAAATACAACTACATTTTCATTAGAAAGCACTTCTACATCAATTGATTTTGCTTCTAAAATGACTAATGAACTTGTTGGTCCCTTAATGATAGCTGAGAATACAGTAATGACAGAAGAAACCACTATTTCACTTGACTATGGTATATCAACTACCATATACCCCGAAGAATTAACTTCGGAAGATCCATTAAACGTACCATTGTCGTTACTTACTGATGATAAGCAAATATACACATCGACCATTGCTTCAAACTTAGAATCGGATAGAGAAATATTTTCAGACGGAACAACAACATTTTTTAAGCATTTTGATTCAATCAATACATCACCACATGAAACTTCATCTGACATAATTTATAGTGATTATGATTCTTCAGTCATAATTTCTAATTACTCAATAATTAATATCGATGATTTTAGTACGACGATAAAAAATGTACCAGACGATCAAATAACGAATAAATTTACTCATGATCAACAAAATATAATTTCGAAGCTCACTTCACTAAGTATCAAAACAAAAGATATAAGAACCAATGATTTACTTGATATCATTAAAAATGAAAATTACGAGAATAATGAATCAAAAAATATAATGACAAATAATTACAATGAAACAACCAATAACTTGGTAAATGACATAATTGTAACAAGAAAAAATGCAAAACCGAAAAATCTCATAAATTTAAATAGTTTGAATAATAAATTCGATAAAAACTATAATTATCTTGTTTACGGCCACTCAAGCATTCCTTGTATTTTAGCATCTATGAATATAATATTACAAATTTCATATAGCACCGATCCTACAAATGTAAGAATTTTATTAAAGCATTAGCATTTATATGTATATTATTCACCTTATATACTCATATATTGTACATCATAATTATAGATGATTAGAAGAAATATTCAGGTACCAGCCACAGCAGAAGTAAATGGTAGTTGTGAAGAAGAAAATTCCTACATGACTCTTACATGGTTGGAAGAAGACATAGAATTCAAAGGGAAAAATATTATTACATTTAATTTTTTAAATATTGGCGCATTTTTCTTCATTAACAGTATTCAAATTAATATATTTCTCAATGACAAATTTTATGCAAATACAACAGGTAATTAACGTAATATGATTTAATATCGGAGATAGGTATAGTAAAGTTTTTTCAATATGGTTGAAATAAATTATGTTATAATTTTGAAAAAATAAGTTTTCTATAGTTACAGATTTTATATTTGCATTTTTATGTATTAAAATACAAATATGGAGTAAACGATCTGTAAGGTCATTAAAAATCATAAATAAAATTTTAAATATTGTAATTGCTATTTGTTGATATATGCTGTTGTAATTGTTATTTATTGATTTTTATTGGATTTTTGATGTAACGAATGTTATTATTGAATACATCACATATTTTTACCAATATCTTTATTAAATAATAATAATTTTACAGAAATAAAATAAAACTGAAAATTAAATGCCTATTGGAATTGAATTTTTGAATTTATAACAAGTCTATTGTATTTTGTAAAAGTTTTTATTTATCAGTAAATAATAAAAAATTTAAAAAGTTGATATAGAAGATAATAAAGACTGTGCAAATTAAACAATTAATTTTATTTAATTATCAAATAAATGATTTATATATAAAATAACATTTTAACATTTTAACATTCTACTATTTTTATGTATAGCATTTATATTACATTAAAAATATTAAATAAAACATAACTTATATATAGGACAAATATTATTTATAAATAGAGTATTATACAACAGTTAAATACAAATAAATTAATTGACTTCTTACTTATATTGCAGGTATAATTTTGGCAGAAAATTCCACGAATGATTTAAGATTATTTTCTGCAAGAATTAATAATGGCATGCATGTGTGTCACTCTGTAACGGAAGTTACTTGTGGAAATATTATTGCGTTTATAAAAGATGTATCGCTTATCGCTTATAATAACAAACAAAATATATCCAGCAGAAAAGGTAAAATTATCTTTCTCAAGCATACATAATATTGTTCATTACTAAATATAAATTAATAACAATAACAAATTCCGAAAATTATAAACTTATATTTTGTATATATTTATTCAACGAAAATTCGTATTTAATAATCACTTGTGTCAATCACTCTCAATCACTCGAGCAAAGTATTTTTCAATATTCATTTAAAATCATTAAAATAATATTATCATTATCATTATCATGTAATATAATAATAAATATAGGACTAGAAATAAAAGTACTAAGCGCTTCTGTCTTTGAAAAATGAATAAAGGAAATTGTCGCTACAATACATTAGAAAAAGCAATTTTCCAATTAGTTTGACAATAATTACGTAAAAATTACATATTTTATAAAAAAGAATCTGGCAATATTTTTTTATCTATTTTTGATATATTTTATCTATAAAAGTTTTATCAATATCTAGATAATAATATACTCACTGAATGAGCTATACAAAATTGATTTTACACACAAAATGTATGTACCTGCATAAATATCTGATTAAATGATTTTATAGAAGAATATTGTTCAACTGCAAAAAATGTAACTATTCCTGCAATTGTCGGAGGTGCAGTTGGAATATCAGTTACGATTGGTCTTATCACTTCATACATCTGGCACCGAAAGAAAATAACCAGCTTCAGATCTGAACTTCCTTGAAGAAGGGATTATGAACATTCAACCATAATGATTTTAATTGTCAGAGTAATATTTTTTTTATTCTTAAATCATAATTCTTTCTATGATTAAAATGAGATTCGGTATTTGAATATATACTCTGAAAATCTATATGTTTAAAGTAAGTAATAAATTGTCGACAAAATTTCTGCAATCATAATAATATTAATAAGTAAATATGATGTATAGATACTTAATAGTTTTATTTGATTCTTAAATAAAAATTCGACTTAGTAACTTATATAACGATTGGTATAAATTCTGAATATAATTAAAGAATATTCACTATATTTTCTCTTAAAAGTCATTTAAGAATCAACAATAAAACTTTATCGTTCATGAACATTCTCAACTATGCGCAGTAATTTATATTTAAATTAAATTTAATCGAAAATTAGATTGAAAAAGTAATGTAACGAACGCTTGAATGCTTGTGCTCGCCAATGGCTGTAATTTTACTAATGTGTATGTTATGTATTATTAATTAACTGGGCTAAGTGTAACGGCGATGTAAGTAATAATCTTTGACAACTACTTTTAGATTATATAAAAAAATTCGTACATTTCGTTTAAAATAATGATATTTAATAATTTACATAATCGAGACGATTAATTAATTTTAAATAAAAATGTTAATTTGCTAATTTAATATGCACAAGAAGAATATTCTTCAATTATAAATAGATTGTGTATTCATACATTTGCGATGTATTTTTAACAAATTACGTAAAATTTCTTAAAACGTTAATAATTATTACAAATATAATAATAAATATGACATTTTTCTAATGTACAAAAATTAATATGTATTAATATATTTAGAATATTATATCTTTCTTTTTCGTCCAAATGTACATTACAATTAATCATTATCTAAAATAAAGTATAAAACTAATTTTCTCATATAAAATTGAAGTACAGTCTCAGATGCTAGTCCTTGTAATTTTAATCTTGCAAATTTGGCCAAAAATTAAAATTGCAATTATAACTCGTGCACTTTGCATGTAATATCCAGCTAAAGATTTTCTGAAAATAATTTGTCAACTCATTTAGAAAAGTTGTAAAGACGGGGTACCATGAAACATGAATCGATATCTTTATTGGGTGATCTCTACTCGTCTAAATTTGCTAGGACTCGACTATCAAGTCGCATAATTCCGTTACATTAACGACTAGCTCTTTGATATTTACTAAAAGTAAAATTAACCTCGAATCATATGAAGTAAGCTTTAGGAAAAGACGAACTGATAAAATACAAAGTGTATATAACACATTGAAAACTTCCAAATGCGTTAAAGGATGTTAAAGAGGAAACCCAAACGATATGGGATTAGTTATAAGTAATTATCTTTAAAAAAGTGGCTGGGAGGTAGGAGTCGTGGATAAGAAATCGAAAGATTTTTTTATGTCAGGAGCTCTAATATATCAGCGTAACTTATTCGATACTGAAGATCTGCTAGTTATTAGTACAGAAATTTCACGCGAGTCTTTGTAGTTGTTACACGATGTAAATGATTTTTATATAATACTTTTATAAGTAGACACTATTTTATTTTATTCTGTTTGTATTATTTATAAAAATTTATAAAAATTATAGTTTGCCAAAGTTTGTGTAGTTATTAGTTAAAAGAATCAAAATTTCTTTCGTAATTTGATCAATTTTGTTGTAATAGATGTCAAATAATCTACGATCATAATTATGTATATATAAATATATAGCATAAATGTAAAAACGCCCATATACAAGTTAATAAATGGGTAGAAGTGTTAAAGATTTGAAAAATTAATTTCTAATAGATATAAGTAAGTATGTTTTTAAAATAACTACTTTTATTTGATCAATATTTCTCATTTGATATATGTACGACATAGTTAGAACTTAAAAAATGCAATTATTAACGTATTATTATTAGAAATCTTACAGACCTTTCTTAATAATTAAAATAAAGCTAACATTTTTTTTTATGAATTTATTGTAATTTGAATTATTATACTTACTTACACGTATTGTGCTAATTACATAAAGTAAAGATTTAAAATAATTAAATTAAATTTCTTTGTTGAAAATTTTAATCTTTAAAATGAAATAAATCCTATTATTTAATTTAGTCATTTGCTTTTCTAATGAATAAATTGATTAAATATCGAAGCATCTTCGGTATACATTACTATTGCTATATATTTCTCTCTCTCTCTCTCTCTCTCTCTCTTTCTCCTCTTCCGCTATTGTTTTACATTTTTAACGATTTTTATCAGTGTTGATAGATAACGATTTTATTTTAATAAATTATAATATTCTATTATTTAATTCAATTATACAAAATATAAAGTAATATTTTATTTAATGGCTAATACTGCTTCACAGAAATATCTATTAATTATATATATTGATTTAATTTATCTTTTTTCATCACAAATATGGTATTGTCTATCTCTGTCAATACAATTTAGGAGAAATTTACTTCGATGGGCAATACGGAAATTGATCAATTTTTTAAAATTCACTACTGCTTAGTGTGAACGTATTTTTAGTTTTGATAAAAAAACTCTAGTAAATTTTAACATGTGTAGTTATTTTTATTAATTAAACCTCTATACGTTTTACTTTAATAAATCTTTCAAATTTGTTGGCACACTCTAAATTAAACGCCACTAAGCGGTAAAATTATCAATTACACTGTTCGATATGGTAAGAGGTTAAGGTTTAAAAACGCGTGTTTATAGTATGAGAGCCAATAGGGAAATAAAACATTTTTAATTCTTAGATTATAAATATGATTAAATCCAATAAAACTGAACAGTGTAATTATCTAATACGATTAGCTACTGATCGTATTGATCACAGCTTTCCTTGTAATCAAGATCAGCAGTTAATATTTTTTACGCCGGGTGAAGAGATATCGACTCAACCAGACTTTCTTAAGTATTATAAATTAATTTGAAAGAAAAATGTACTATGTATAGATATTTTTATATTTCAATATAAAACTGAAATATTTCAGAGGTCATGGAACTTACGTTGATCAACAAGGTATTCTGCGAGCATCCGTAGCCGGTCCTTTAGAAAAAGTTAATAAATTAATTTCTGTTAAGCCGTATAAAACTCGTTACCAAGGAGAGATTGGTGATGTTGTTATAGGAAGGATTACAGAAGTGCAACGAAAACGCTGGAAAGTCGACACGAATGCAAAATTAGATTCTGCCCTTTTATTATCCAGTGTTAATTTACCAGGGGGAGAATTGGTATTACCATTAATATATCACATTAATAAGTATCGTTTAATTTAAATCTATATTATAATATTCATAAATTTATGTATTAAAATTAAATTGTTTTTTTTTATGAGATAGTTAAGATTAATTTCATGTTTTAAAATACGTCACTATATTAATATTTATATTATGAGTATTATATTAGTAAAATATTTTATTACTTGTGAATATAAAATAATCAAACGTTTGTAGTTATTTCATAGTTGTGTAATTGACTTACTATTTCATTGTTATGATTAATGTAATTTTTACTAATGAAATTTATTTTAAATTTTAGAGAAGAAGATCTGTCGAAGATGAACAGTCAATGAGGCGTTATTTACAAGAAGGAGACTTAATATGTGCCGAGGTTCAAAGTATATTTGCAGATGGTTCTTTATCATTACATACAAGAGTTTTGAAATATGGTAAATTATCTCAGGGTATCATGTTAAAAGTTTCCCCTGCCTTAATTAAACGACAGAAGACACATTTTCATAATCTAACTAACGGTGCTTGCTTAATTTTGGGAAATAATGGATATGTATGGATTGGAGCAAATTTTACAGATGTGGATCGATCGGATGGTGGTTTTACCCAAGATTTGTCTAGAGTACGACAAGAAAATAGAGAAGTATGTGCTCGACTTCGTAATTGCATTTTAGGTCTTGCTAAAAGCAACATTCTTTTATCGGACACATCAGTTACTTATGCTTATGAAGAATCTATGAAATATAATATACGAGAATTATTACAACCTGAAGTGCAACTTGATGTAGCCCTATTAACTCATCAAAGACTTGTATTATAATTTCATTTCTTTTAAGTTTTAAAATATAATGTACAGAAAGTTTTAATTTAAATTAAGATTAAGCTTATACATATTAATTTATATAAATGAATTCGCACTATAGATATTTTTTCGTTTTATTTCTCTTAATGTTATTATCAAAAGCTTATATTAAATTGATCTAGCACGTGTTAAAACAAAATTGATTAAAGTAGTTTTAATAGTGAAATTTTAACTTTAAGCTTTGATCTACTTTTTAATTTTTTTTTCTTCGGTAAGCTTTAATAGAAATTGCTACAAAACTTGGAAAGAAATAAAATTACATAAAATAAAATTTTGTTGCTTTAAATGGTACGCTTTAATTTAATTTACTCCTCATCAAATACTAATATATATAAAATATAAAATATACAAATTTGATCAGTATCAACATATATTTGGTACTAAAGTTATTAGTTATACAATGCCATTAAATTATAATGATATAAAAACTTAAATTTCTGTTAATTTATTAAACCAGCTTGGATCTATGTATATAATTTATATTTATGTTAATTACAAATATTTTTTTAATATGTAGATTTTTAAATTCTTTTATCATATAAAAATAAAAAATATAACAAAAAATCTAAATATTCAAATTAAATATATAAATAAATAAATTAAATAAAAAAATTTGTTCCATCTACCTGCCTTAATACTGCTTTAACATTAATTTTTATAATTTATAAATATTTCAGATGTATATTTTACAATTTCTTAAATTTATTACTTATATATATATTTTTTTTTTTTAAATAATAAAGGATGAGTTCGACAATATTAATGCATACATAATTTGTATTTGCATAATATTACAAGTTTATATTTCATTTTATGTGTGAATAATAATCATATTAACATAATACATATTTAATAAAAAAAAAGGATATATATTACTTATATTTTTATTACTTTTTTAATATACTACTATTTTATTTCATTTAACAGATTTAACATATTACACATTAATGTTTTACATTTTAGAAATGTAACTTATCTTTTAGTAGTAACTAATGTGTATCTAAAATTTACAATATTATAAGTTACAGATAAAGACACATTTAGATGACATTTTTAAAAATATTTATGAAATACTTTTAGGCTGTTTATTATTAACTGTAATTATCTATTATTAAGACTATTTTCAGTCTTAATATTAATAATGTATAATTGTAACAACAATCTGATAAAAATTGATAAAAAAATGTCATCAATATAACTTTGTTTAACTTGAACAATATGAAATTTAATAAAGAATTAGTTTTTATAAAATAATATGTTTTATTATCCATTTTAATTAGTGAAATAGATTCCGAGTAATAAATTATATATAAAATAAGAGTAAACAGTACTAAAATTCTAATAAATTGTAATATGTAAATTATAATAAATTTAGTTTATTTTTTATTATATTAAAAAATAGTACTTTTACATATTATTGAAATGTGAGCTGAAACATAAGTTGCCTTCTAGTAAAGATATATGGTTATTACTCAAGTCATCATCACAAATATCAGTAAGATACTTAGTTCGTTGATAATACTTTATAAAAATAAAATTTATTATTTTATAATGTGATAATGTAATGAAAATATTTACATATTGTAACTGACTTAAATATTGTTTATTATTTTAATAGAATTTATAATAATCTTATATATATATATATATATATATATATATTCAAATAATTTACATTACGTAGATATTTATCTTATAATAAAAGTATTTAACAATAATAAAAAGACATATCAGCACTAATATTAAGAAGTAGAATTTATATTATTTTAAAAATTATTTTAAAATTTTATTCAAAATTATTTAAAAATGTACTAAAACAGTAATATACCGCAATTGTAACTTATGAAATTTATATAATTTATACGATATTTTCATTATCATAATGAATAATTAATATTTACAATTTTTACTATGATAATCGAATTTATACGATTAAATTGTTAAGACTAATGTATTCAAAAGTTAATAGATTTGTTAGATGATAAGGATCGCCAAATTAATTAATAACTAAGAATATAATTCATGTGATAAGTATATAAAAATGAAATTATTTGTGGTTTAGATTTTAACAGTTATAGAATTACAACTGCAAATCAATAACTATATTTTAATATTTAGATATAAACCTTTCAAATAACTATAGCAAGAAACTATTGAAACATATTGTGATTTCATTTAAAATCTGTTACATTTCCAAAGTTTTCCGATTATTTCCCGCCAATAATCTGAAAGTCGTTAGACTAAACTGGCGTCAAGTCGCTCTTTTGAAAGCCAAGCTTACCTTCAATAAGCCCCCCGTAACTTACACAGAATTTGCGTCATTTGTTAAAATTTTCTTCTAAATCCAAAACTAAGATGCATTGCCTCTTTAAATTTTAAAGATCTAAACAGGCGGTCCATATAGATGAATCGGCTTTTCTCCTTGCACATGAATTTGTGTCAGTATCATTCCTGGGAAATTTTCGAAAGATGAAATATACTTTGTGTCTCGTTGTAAAGAGTCGTATATAAAACAATGGTAAGCGATAAAATTTACACATTGTTAAATCACGTTTAACGACTTTTAATCTTTTAATATATGAATCATATCTACTACAAGTTTCTCTGTAAGCTTACTGCATATCATCTGATTTTTATAATGTATAAGAATAGATTATGCAATATAATAATATTACATTAATTATATCATATTAATACATAACAATACATTACGCATTCTATACTCATTGTTTAATTTGAAAATATTTTTGTTTCATCATTTTATAGATCATTATATATTAGGAAAAGTAAATGCATTAATACAAGAATATTTTATGCGAAACTAATTGAATACGAATAAGAAATCTTATAACTACTCGTTATAAGTATATACCGTTAATCGTTATAGTATAACGAGTTATACTACTCGTCATAACTCGTTACAATAATAATGTATTTATTAAAAAGGATTTTATTTTTACTGTATATATAACAATATAGCCTAAATACTTTTATGTCATGCATAAGGAAAATAATTAAATTGCTATTATATTATTATCCCAAAATTTAAAAAACGGAAGGAAATAACAAATAATTAAATTTTCAATATTTATTGATGTACACAATATTTTTAACGTGAACGGAGAAAGTATACGTTCCTTATATTTTAATATAATTTATTTTCTTACAAAAAAAAAAATTTTTATATTTATCCAGTAAGTATGAAAATTATGATTGCCACTTTGAATTTAATAAATTTAAATTAATAAGCATTTTTAATATAAATAATGAAATAAAAAGTATGACGTTATGTATTATATATTTTTAGAAATTATATTTAAATGTATATTTTTAAATAAGAGTTTGCAAATATATTAAATTTCTAGTTTACTAATAAATAAAATAATGTTAAAATATCCATAATTATTTTGATAACTTACAAAAATTATTAATAATTTAAAAGCTAATGTCGAATAATAAGTATCCCATCATAATAAATAATATTTTATATTTTTACTTTAAACGAATAATGGCGATGATAGCAAAATTCATTATAAAATAATGACAATAATTTGGAACAAAGTATTAAAAGAATAAAAATGGCTATAAAATGGAACTAAATATAATGCACTATAATACTGCACTATAACACTAAATAATAATACACAATATTTTTAATAATAATATGTCCATCGAAAACTTTAATGTTAAGTACTTATAGAAAACAGTAGCTTGAAAAATATTAAAATATTAAAAAATAGTAAAATAATCAAATAGTAATTAAATATATTTTTGTTACTTGTTAATTACAATAAGTAATAAAAAAAAAAAAAACGAAAAAATCAAAATATATGGCTAATTATTAGAATGGAATAATGAAATTCGATCATTAATGAAATAAGTATAAAACAAATTTTGAGTAACCCGAGAGCGGAAAGTAACTATGGAAGTTAAATTCAATTGTCAAACTCGCATAAATGATCTAAGCAGTATAAGAGTACCAGGAGAAAAAAGTAAGAAGGGGCGATCGTCTAATTGAAAAATGTTTATTTGCGTGAGTTCAACCGGTAGCGATGGGCAGCCCAGAAGCGGTATAGGGAAAGGGAGTGAAAGAGAGAGGGAGAGAAACTTAGGCACGCGTTTTCAGGTTTCGTGCCACGCGCCTCGACTTCTTTCGAAAAAAACTCAACGGCTTCTTGTTTGCTCGGTCTATCAACCAGCTGGACCGACAGCGGCTTCCTCCGTCTACTTAGATCTCCGTCTCTCCGCCTGTAGATTGCTCTTTCCATCTTTTATTTAACATTCAATATTCAATAACGAATATAAATGCAATTCGATTATACTAAAATCCAAGAGATGGATCTTGCTCTTCGACTTCGCACTTTTACATAAATATTGCTTACATAAGGTTTAACTCTAGATGTGAAAGTAACTGTTGATCAGCAAAAGATTTCCTCGTACCCAATACTGCTGATTTTGTCATTGACTCCTTTAATCTCCTTTCAGTGCATTACATATTTTTCTTATCAATTAACTATACAAACATATATTAAACTAATACTGAATTCTTATTTATTTACTTAATATTTACTTGTTTAGTACGCCATTTATATTTATATAGTATTTTCTTATCATCCCAGTCTGCGCTGCAATCGGGTCATTGTTGATTTTTCTGCAGATGGCCTCTAGTTATAATAACAAACTCTTTTGCCCATTGTCATCCATTGTGGCAGTTTATATCATATTCCAGGGAATGATCATAAAAAATTTATTGTATTATATAATACAATAATAATACAAACAATAATAATAATAATAATAATAATAATAATAATAATAATAATAATAACAAAAACACAGTAGAAATAATAAGGACAACAATAATAATATACAAATATATAATGATAAATTATATAAATGTATAAAAACAATAGACGCATATTGACTTATAATAATTTGCATACTACATAAATTTTCATTGATACGTAGTAATAGGTTTTGTCCATACTGTCAGAATAGTATCATT